TTAAAGTTCTTATTTGATTAGTTTAAATTTGTGGACACCCTGTATAACATGGTAAGTTTATTATCATTGGGATATAAAATATTATATCTTGTTACCCTTCACTATAAATTACGCTTACATAACTTAAATACTTMTARAGTATTTGACACCTGAAAATTAGATAAGATTTTGATTAAATTCGCATTATTTAAAAAACCTTAAGATTTAGGTGTTATAAACCTCATTAAAACAGACACTTATTTTGTTCAGCGAATCCAAAAATGCAATAATATATAGGACATTATATTTAAGAAAACGCAATTTTGACACCTTTAGAGCTTTTGGGACACCCTGTACATTACAAAAATATTTTTAAAATGTGCGCTCGGTAGGCGTCGGACAATTCTTAAAATAATACTTTAAAAAAATCAAACGGTTTAGCCGCAAACTTCCGTGCCGTATAGCGTGAATAACCCTGTATAAGTAAATGCGTATCCTATCTATTTTTTTCAAAACTCTGCAGGTACTATATGAAAATACATACAAGTGCTATGTTGTGGAGGAACGGAGCAAAGTGCGCAATAAAACAAAACATTCTTCTGGACATTAGTTTAATTGTAAAAATATAACAATTAAAATATTAAAATGCTACATTATACATAATATGCATATATTTGTTAAATAAACTATAACACAAGAGTATATACTTACTTAGTAGATAAACAATTTATTTTTTTTAACACAATACCCTTGAATCAAAAAAAGCATATTTTAGTAAATACTTGAGGGGTTTAAAGCAATTGTATGAAAGCTTGAGTACATTTCAAAACAGTGGATACTTCGCATATGATCTAACATTTTTTAATGTAAAACATAACTTCTGATTTAGTCAGTATATTTATATTTAAAAAGTAAATGAATAAGTCTGAACTGATGTTATTATGTAAAGTAAACATATATCTATCTTTAGCAGTTTTGACTACATGCAATGCAAAACATGATAATTTGCGTCCTAGAATTTTCTATAAAAAAATGTAGTATCAAAATTGGAATGCCTATAAAACTATTCCTTCTGAATATTTGAGCTTTTCTCTTCTATAAAAATCTAGTGTTTGATTAGGTTTTGATAATTAAAGGCGCCTTAGTCTTATTATTACATTGATATTAGGAGTTATAATAAATATAGGCCTCTAGGAATAGAAGAGTAAAATTAGCTGGCAATATAGATATTTTTAAAATAATCGTTAAAACACAAGAAAGATGATGTAATTCTAATTTAAAATATTCTAAGGAATAAAATAGGTTCGTATATTTTAACAACTTGTTATTTGGATTTAAATATTGATATTTTTTTGTTATGTTTTGTTGTTTTCAGTTATGTATGTACGTTGTGGTTAAGCTGATCCTATACTGGACTGTAAAGAGTATAAACAGAGCGTTATTGAAGTCCGGTCTAATTTTGCAGTAAGTGCTAAATTCACAACGATGACTTAGTTTTTTAATATTTATATAACCTTTCTACATGCTGTGTGAAAACATTAGCAGTTTTATAACGTTTGAAATATCTGGGCACTAAACGCAAATAGTTTGAAAATAAACTGTGTAATTAGTGGACTCTCGCTCCTATAGTTATAACAAGGTTTGGTAATCTTGTTTTTATAAGTACAAGGTGGTGTAGTTTTAATCGTGAAGCAAAACACAGTGCCCTTAGTAAGTATGACGATAACTTTTACAAAAAGGAGGTTGCAATTGATTTGCATGTATTAATGTAATTGTAAACCACTAACATTGCTTTAAATAGAAAGCTTTTCTACGTAAGATTTACTATTTTCGGCAAAACGATTTAAAATCACATTAATTCTCAATTATTAAATTGTGTATATTGCACCAAAGTTCTTGCAACTATTTTAATAAAACACACAAGTCAACAATTTTTTCGTAAAATATTTTAACCATGGAGAGTCAGAGAATAAAAATCACGATTTAAATAAAATGTGGCACTTTACGATGTTTTTGTCTCCATTCTATAAAAATTCTGCTTAAATTGGGTTTTCGGTTGTTTTCTTTTAATAACTGAAAAAACCTGAGACAAACAAAGAATAACGGCTCGTATTTAGAAAGCGAACAGTTTAAAGACAGAACTTTATATAGACTTGCTTATTATCGTCACGTACCGAATGCATAGTTAAATTAGTTACCATTAAAACTGTACCATCCTGTATAATTTAAATTCTCCATATTGTGGCTTTCGGTGTCCTGAAAATGAGGAAATATATTGCACCAAACTGCAAACGCATTTTTAAGATAATATATCTTAAAGTTGCTAGTCAGATATGGAAAACTGCCGCCGCATTATGATTAGCAAAGCTCTTTATAGAGTGGACTGTAAATTTAAATATTTGTTAGTACATTAGTGATAAAAAAATTTCTTACATTAAATAAACATTTGGACTACTATTCTATAGAAAATAAACATATTTCCCATAAAATCATAAGTACTAAGTGTGCAAAATTAAAGCTAATTACTGGTAAAAACGTATTACTATCTTATCATGCTATGTAAACATCGAATAATGACAGGAAAAAAATTGTTGTGGAAAAAAGGGCATCTTTTGAACATATTGGAAAACAAATATTTTTTTTGTAAAAAAATTTAAAAAATTGTCAAAAACTCTATTATTGTTACATCTGGATCTGAAAACCGATATAAACTTTTCTCTCTAAAAAACTCCCCAACGTGCATCAACTGAAATTAATATTTTGTCAATTTTTAACCAATCAACTGGCTTCTGCAATTTCATGTTCTGTTTCCTCCAAAAGGAACAAGTAATTTTGAACAACTTGATAAGCGTAGTTTTGTTAATCGAATTTGAAAATTAGTCAGTTTAGATAATTCCAACCGCAGTTTCAATTCCATTTACGTATTAGTATACTTTAGTCCTTGTTTTTAATGCAAGTGGGAATGATGACGACTTTTAACACGATTAAAATCAGTCAAACTGGCATTGATAGATACTCTCGTTCCTCGTCATATCATAGTGTTCCTAAACTATTCAACATTAGCACCAACAATTTTAGGTCATTTGTCCGTATCACAAACATTTTATGTACTTTACGTTACCATTAATAGTGTTTCCAATGAAATATGTGAAGATTAGAGATGCGAACTTAAAATGTTTGAAATACTAGTAGCATTAATTCTAACACTTTAACTACCTCTAAATGTATGGTGTTGTTCTTTGTATTAAATAAAGACAGGTATGAATAATTACTCAGGCCTTATGCATGACGGGAGCCGGTATTCTGGACAAATTGTTTTCAGGTTTTGAATCCTTTCTAGGACTCCTAACCGACATTCTTTCGGTATGTTGACGGCTAAATTTGGGCGAGTAGTCCTCTTCGTTGTTCAAAGTGCTCAGGCTACCATATTTGCGAAGAAGTTCTTGAACCTAAACAGTTTCAGATATTTACTATGTGATTAGATCTCAGAGAAAAAATCACACTTTTACAAATAAAAAACATTGCGTTGCAAAAACCAAGAAGTTTTCAAGCGTTTATCAAGCAAAGTTTTGGTGCATTTCACATATGCTATTCTAAGTAGTTTGATAGGCAAGGTACTAGCTAAAAAATATTTTTGGATTTAAAATAAAAGTTTCACTCAATTAAAAATTTAAATCTATTAGAATTGCGTGTAATTATAATACACACAGTAAGAAACTTGACAAGAAAATGAAACTTTTTTTGTATTTGTTGATAAATTTCCATGATACGAGTAAATTAAATACATATTGTTTCCACAATTTCCGTTTCTAAACCATGACTCACCAGTCTTTGCTAGTCAAACTCTTGAAAATTTATTTTGAAAACACACTGCACAGTTTTGACATGCAACACACTGATGCTGAAGGAATGATTGGTCAATCTTGTAGTCTGTGACTACTTTAGCGAAGTGTTGTATATAATATACAAAAATACACTTAAAATGAGAAGCAAAAGCAACATCCTTTGTTTCGATTTTTTGTAATTTTGTAAAATCGTTTCTTTCTTATGATTTAAATATTTCGAAACGGGATTCTAAAGACATTGTCTTTGCTTCCATTTGGCTGTTCATATGTGCGTACTTGTTTGGTTTTTAGTGTGATGTGGCTTCCTGATCTTTGGAGTTTAGTAGGCTGAGTGAAAAAATTTTGATTAGCAATTTTGTATGGCGTTTGTGAAAATGATGGATTACTTTCAGGATTAATTAAAACTAACAATCAAGTAATGGTCAGACTATTGCAGCTGCTAGATTACATATGTATACAATTCACCTGACTCTTCAACCAATGCAAACATTTTTATTAAGCTTTCGGCAATTTTGCACAGTTAATTAACTTTATAATGTATTTATTAAAATCTACATTCCAAATGTTGAATTGAATGAAATTACATGCAAGTAATATGGTTTCAAATTCAAGATACTTTTATTAAAATATTAGTCTAGTCCCCATCAACACTTTTGGTGAATTTAGAAAATTCAGTTCCGTAATATGATATACAGTACATTCGAAAAGTCCCAGATATTCCCTAGTATATACAGGGTTGCTCATTAGTGCGTCAAAGTGCGATATCTCAGTTAATATGAAGTTTACGAGAAAATTCGTCCAACGAAAGTTTTTCACGTTTAAAAGGTCCACATTCTAAAATTACTTTCCAATATACAGGGTGCATCATAAACGTGTGGTAGT